TTCACAGTATGTTTCTAATGAGATTATAGATGTGAACCAAGGGCTGGAGAGCACAGGAGAAGGGGAGGCAAATGTTGCTCAAGAGAGTCCAAGGTGACATTTGAAGTGACACTTGAATAAGTGAGCATCTGTTGGAGGAGGATGAGGGGGTGGGAGGGAACTTTGGGTAATTACACCACTTCCTCTAAGTATCTGATAGGTTGAGATTTGTTGGAATTTGATAGTCTTGTTATCTCATTATTTCTTAGTCTGCTTCATTCTCTAGGTGAGGATCCCAGTGTTTCATCCTCAGAAGAGTGGTGCGAGTCTCAATAGCAATTAACCTCAGGACTACTGTGATGAGAGTGCCACAATGTTCCAGGGGGGCAGAGTCCCAAAAGTCATAATACCTTTGCCATCCCATGATTTCTCATGGTACTTGGAACAATTTAATTCCAACCCATTGATCTTTATCCAGTGTTACCCATCCCATTCCTATTTCTTTTAAAATTTAGATAGATCTAAAGAAAGAGAGGGAGCTCTGATGGCATAGTGCCTAAGGGATTTGACTGCTAACTAGAAGGCTGGTGGTTCAAACCCACCAGCCACTCTTCAGAATCTACTTCCATAGAAATACCACCTCAGAAACCCAAGGAGGGGTCGCTTTGAGTCAAATCGACTCGATGACAGTGAGACACAAAGGAAGAGCATGATTTATAATTTGCCTACAATGAGGAGAGCCCTAGAAATTCACAATGACTGAGCTTTGTTGAAAATTCAGGAAAATTGTGTTCAGTAGGTGGTGGAAGTCAGGCAGGAAGACATGAAATTCATGGTAGTTGAGTGTCATCATGGGGAAATAAGGTTTCTATATTTAGGAACTATGGAAAAATTGAATGTAGCCTCATAGTACAAAGTAATAGGAATAGATATTGGTATATAGCAGAAAAATGCAGATTTAGGAGAGAGAAACAACCTGGGATTTGGTGTCATTATAGCAGATACATTAAGAGGGTGAAAAAAGAGATTTAAGCTTCTTTGTTCTTTACTTTCTAATAATGATTTTACATAGTCTATTAGGGATAGTAATTTTGTAATTCTTTTGTAAGAGTTTGACATTGAGCAAAGGATGCTAGCATGTTTTTGTATTCAAGTTATACGGTTTGCAATATCATCTGATTGAATGCAGATGTCTTATGATTCGATCTTGTTTATGTTGATTTTATATCATATGTCAAAAGTGCTCTAGAGAACTTGTGCCTTGATTTAGAAAGCCTGCCAATTTCGAAAAATCTGTCTTTAGTTACTGATTTCTCTTACAGTCTGACTGAAACTGAAAAGACTCTTGAAGAAACCAAGAACAGATCGGCCATATCCCTTTTGGCTGCAGAGGAGGAAATAAATCAGCTAAGACAGCAGTAAGAAAAAAAAATGACAGAATGATAGCATCCTGCTGATACTCTTTGAATTTAGCTTTTCTGGTGCTTCATTACAATATGAAAGATTCTGTTCACAAGCAAAAAGGAAAGGCAGGGATATTTTTAGTGATGTTTTAAATATATTCTTACTGTAAAAACATTAGGTATTATAGAAAATTTTCAAAGTATGACATAGTACAAAGGAATCTAGAAACCATCTCACAATTCCAGAGCCAATTACCATTTTGATAATTCTTCCTATATATATATATTAAAAATAAAGTTGAGACTACAGAATGAAGTACGTGAGTGTGCCATTGTTTTTCTCTTAATGTTGTTTTCTTCTATCACTGAGAAAAAATACTGCAGAGCTTAGTTGTAAATAGGTGCATAGTATGCCATCCTTCAGGTATTTCCCTAATGTTGAGTGTTTAATTTGATACTAATTTTCAACATTAAAATAACATTGTGTCATTATTTTTGTGGCAAATCTTAGTTCAGATTTCAGATTAGCCTCTAAAGATAAGTTTCTGGAAGGGAAAATAAGTAATTGGTTCTTTAAGGTTTTAACTTCTTTGTTCTTAATTTTGATTGTTTCTATGAAAAAAAAAGAGCAGGTGGAGGTGTGTATTTTGGACTGTCTTGAATGTATTTTTTTGAGAATGTCTTTCTGTTGCCTTCATGTTCCAATTGTTCTGATTTTTTCAGTTTCAATCACAAATCTTAGCTTGCAGCTCTGTTCTGCCTTCTACTTCTATCTTCTCTCTCATCATTTTAATCTCTTATTTCCTGTATGGTATATCTTTTCAAATTCATTGTTCATATTACTCATTAGTTTCCTATAGTACTGATTCTCTTCTTTACTGTTGCTAGTGCAGCTTTTAATTTTACTATTGCATTTTTGGGAGCTCTGGTAGCATAGCTAAGACACTTGCCTGCTAACCAGATGGCTGGCGGTTCAAACCCACCAGCCACTCCTCGGAAGGAAGGTTGGGCAATCCTACTTCCGTAGTGATACTGCCTCGGAAACCCAAGGAGGGGTCGCTATGAGTCAGGGCCGACTCGACGGCACATAACAAAAACAACAACAACATTGCATTTTTAGCTTCTCTATATCCTTATTTTACCCTTTACCTTTCATCTTACCTCATTGTTACTTTCATCACAGCATGTTCTCCTCTTAAGACTTTTTGCTCCTGTTTTATGGTGGCCATGGCTTTTTTTTTTTTTTTTTAAATCATAAATGGAAATGCTAACTTTATTTCTAAAGTTTTTTTGCTTGTGTTTGTACTATATTATTTTCCGAGGTCTATACTTCCACCTAGTCTTGGGTATATAATTCATTTTCCATTTTAGTTTTCCCTATACCGTATCTGTTCAAGGAGCCCTGGTAGCATAGTGGTTAAGCACTGGCTGCTAACAAAAAGGTTGGTGGTTTGAATCCACCAGCTGCTCTGTAGGAAAGATCTCGCAATCTGTTTCCATCAAGATTTATAGCCTTGAAAGCCCTGTGGAGCAGCTCTACTCTGTCATATAAGGTGAATAGAGGGTTGCTATGAGTCAGGATTGACTTGATGACAGGTTTTTTTTTTTTTTAAATGGGTCCATCTGTTCAGAGAATCAAAGAGCTAGTGAGGGTAGGAGATTATACTTAGGCTAGCTACTGTTTTAGAGGTAAAATACTTTCAGATTTTTGTGCTGCTAAGATCAGTACAATACAGAACAGTATAGCTAGAGGCCTACTCTGCTTTTGCTAGAGGATCTATATGAGCATTCTTTTCTCAGGAACCATTTTCCATGAAAGCTGCTGACCTGTCAGGCATCTTGACTTCTGGCAGTTCTATTTTTTTAAAAACATTATTTTATTTATTTACTATTATTTTTGGTGAATATATACAGAGCAAAAGATACAACATTTCAACAATTACTACTTGTACAATTCAGTGACACTGACTATATTTTCAAGTTGTGCAACCATTCTGGCTACCTTTTTCTAAATTATTCTACCACCATTAACATAAACTCACTGCCCATTAAGCTTCTAACCTAACCTTCCAAGTTGCTGTTGTCAGTTTGATTCTACATAGATAATTTTTTAACAGAGCACAGTGCTCAAAACAGACATAATTTGCTAATTAAGTTAAACTGTTGATTAGATCCAAGAAGACTTTAGGATCTAGTTTTGGTTTAAGGTTTTAAAGATTATCTCAAGACAGTGCTTTCAAAGGTTTATCTATCCACAGTGATTCCAGAAAGTCTGGATTCCATGTTGTTGTTGTTGTTTGCCATCAAGTTGGACCCGACTCATAGTGACCCCTCCTTGGGTTTCCAAGGCAGTATCACTACAGAAGTAGATTGCCCAATCTTCCTTCCGAGGAGTGGCTGGTGGGTTTGAACCACCAGCCTTCTGGTTAGCAGTCAAGTGCCTTAGGATTCCATAAGAATTTGAAATTCTGTTCTGCATCCCTCCCCTTTTTGATCAGGATTCATTTATAGCGTCTTTGATTAAAACATTCAGTAATGGCAGCTGGGCACTACTCTGTTCTCTTGGTCTCATGGCAATCTGGCAGTTCGGCTTTGCTCATTCGTGTTTATTCATGTGTATTCCCATCAGTTTTCCAATTCACTAGTGACATAGTAGGTAGAGTGATCTCTCTCTCTTTTAATATTCAGGCTTAAATCTCTTCAATCCCAAGAAGACCGCCACAGGAACTCAGACTACTACTCAGACTACCGGGGCGGAGAGCGGGGTAGGAGCATAGACCACAAGAGTATAGACCTGAGGGGAGCAGAGCCACGGGCCTCAGAACCACGGGGCTCTGAGGCACAGTACATAGACCTGAAGAACTTAGACAGAAGGAACACAGACCAGCACAACCCCGAAGTGATATCTGACTATGAGAAACAGCTCCGAACACTCAAGGACGAGATCGCTGTTCTGTCTGCTGAAAAGAATGTACTCCAAGGAAGGTCTGACAAACTCTCACTCATCTTTTGATTTTACCTTCCTTTGATGCCTCATTTGTTGATTTAGTGGTAAAAGCCTAGCTTGGGAGGAAAAAAAAAAAAGTAAAATGACACCCAGAACCAAAACCCCAAAAATATGAGAAGATTTGAATTGCAAAGGGATTGTTTTCTCGACTCGCACCATTTCAGAGAGAGAAAACACCCCCTGGATTGTTAATACTCAGGCATTTACTATTTTTGGGTGGGCATTGAAGTGAAAGGGATGAATCTGAGAGATATGATGAAGGAAAACCCTTTGGTTTAAAAGAGTACAATACAATTGGTGGTACCCATATTGAAAGAATGTCCTGAAACAGTAGACACCTTTTCTCTAAGACCTAAGGGTCCTCTCTCCAACGTGACCATATTACTGGTCCATATTATAATATGGCATTTGTTTTTATATCTGAATTTGTTTGATACAGTGTGCAGGTAAGTTGTGCTTGTGAAATTCCTTTCTGCTGATGGACAGAACATGAAGACAGGTCATTAAGAGAGTTTAGTGAGGACAAAGTAAGATCTCTTTAGCATGGTCATTTCCCCTGTTCTAACAGTCCCTCTCCACCACATGTTTTGGTTCAGCTTATCAAAACCACCCTACCTTCCCTTCACCCCATTCGTCTAAATAACACCTTAGTGATATTTTTAGGACTCACTCAACCAATGTTGGGTTGATACCAGCTTGTCCTCTGAAAAGCTGATTCTGTGCATCTCTTCCAGTGACATCATATTGGTAGCTTAAAATTGGCCATGAGGGGGAGGGGGTATGGAGAGAGTTTGCACCATGGAAATTGGCAAACAGTGCAATTTTTTTCCCCCTTCAGAGAGTCTCCTTATCAGCACACCACTACACACAGTGCTGTCTACTTTTTGCCCCATAGTTTCTTCTATATAACTTCTCTTTTTGGGACCCATTTCTTTTGGGCTAGAAAGTCTGATCATTTACTTTACTTGGTGGCAATATACTTTCCACTGATACAGAACTTTACAATTTACCAAATACTTTCACATGTGTTAGATCATCTAGTTTTCTAGCCCTTATTCCCAATCCCAAGGAATGATAGTGGTGCAGTGGTTAAGTGCTGGTTGCTAACCAGGCTAGTGGTTTGCATCCACCAGCCACTCCATTGGAGAGAGATGTGGCAGTTTACTTCCATAAAGATCACAGTGTTGGATACCCTGTGGGGCAGTTCCACTCTGTTCTTTAGAGTTGCTTTGAGTCACAATTAACTCGACAGCAACTTTTTTTCCCTCACTCCTGACATAGTCAAATAAAAAATTACATAGGTGACAGCTGAATCTTTGGAGAGGAGAAATGATTGCAGAAGTCCCACTGATATGAAATGGTGTGGCTGGAACAAGAACACAGCTCTTTTTTATTGTTCAACCAGTGTTCATTCCATTTCGTACCATGAGGCACACATGATGTTTCTATGTGATAAGTTAGTTGTTTTACCCAAAGTTGGAAGCAAAACATCCTGAAAATCTGACTAGTCTAACTTTGGCTCTTGCTGGCTGTGTTACTTGAAGGATGGTGCTGTTATCTTTGCTGAGCTTCCATTCCTCATCTGTAAAACAGCTCACAATTAATCGTGACCTCATGGGTAGTTAAAGGATAAATTGAGGCACTCAGAGAAAGTGTTCTATAAAGTCTAATTTATTCTGCAAATACATAGGACTGTTTCTTGGCTATGGTAGTGGAGGCCCACTGCAGAGGTCATGGAGACAGCTGCTTACACTGTTTATGGGTTGTGGATCTTGGGTATCATTTGCAGTTTATGTGGGGAGAGGAACCAGAGTCTAGGACCAACAGGGGGAAGTCAACAAAGGCGTTTTCCTAGCTGATTCTCACTCACCAACAGGTCTGTCAGGAGCCGGTCTCCTAGCCCTGCCCCTCGCAGTCGGTCGGCCAGCCGGACTGCCAGCCGGGCGGCCAGCCGGGCTGCCAGCCCTTCCACTGCAGTTGCGAAAATTAGAACCCCATCGCCCAATCGCTCCAAATTGTCCAGTGTGGCGCGCAAGGCTGCCCTCCTGTCTCGGTTCAGCGACGCCTATTCCCAGGCCCGTCTGGATGCACAGTGCCTGCTGCGGCGCTGCATAGACAAAGCTGAGTTGGTGCAGCGGATCATCTACATTGCCACAGTGGTATGTGTATGCATGTGGGCTGGACTTCAGAGGAGGTCCTCGGGGCAGTAGAGAGAGAGCAGTTCTGTAAAAAGAAGGGCATAGCTTAAAAAGATGCATGGATCCTGAGGCACTCCTCAGTCTCCCCATCTTCCCTCCCTCCTTTTCTTCTTTCCTTCCTTTCATTACTAATATTCAGGATAAAGCATTCTCATAAATAATAACTATTCGTATATATTAATGTTCATGTAGACCAGATGTTTATTGAAGTGTTCCTAACTGCAGGACTATCTCAAATCGATGTATAATAAGTTGATTTGCACTCTTATCTTCTGCCAAATGTGGGCATATGCACACATGGTATGGATATGTTAGTGCTAATGATAATCATGCCGTTTGTTTTCATCAGTTCTTAGAAAAATCAGAAGGTTGTGATTGTGTTAACTCTACTGGTTTAGCCTTTGATTTTTAGCCAAAACGTTGGGAGTTTAAACCCACCCAAAGGCCCCTTGGGAGAGGCCTGGTGATCTGCTCTCAAAAGTCACAGTTGTGAAAACCCTATAAACTCAAACAAAACTCATGCCTTGAGTCCATTCCGACTCATAGTGACCTCATTGAGTTTCCAAGGCTGTAAATCTTTACAGAAGCAGACCATCCCGTCTTTCTTCTGTGGAGTGGCTGGTGGGTTCAAACCACCTGCCTTTTTGGTTAGCAGCCAAATGCCTTAACCACTACACCTCCAGAGGTGGACATTTCTATTCTGCAGCACATGGGATTATTTTGAGTGGGAATTGACCTGAGGGCAACTAAGAACAATGACAGTTATAAAAACTGCTACACATCAGCTACTGAGTATGAAATTTAAAAAAAATACACATATATAACCCTTAATTCCCAAAGCAAATAGACTTGTTTATGTCTACCATCCTGAGACACTAAAAATCCCTTATGAGAATAGTTAAATATTTTAAAAAATGGTATGAAAACAGAATTACCAGAATGTACAAACCCACTAGCCACTCCTAGGAAGGAAGGTTGGGCAATCTACTTCTGTAGTGATACTGCCTGGGAAACCCAAGGAGGGGTCACCATGAGTTGAATCCGACTCAACAGCACATAACAACAACATAGCTTTATTTTATATTTTGACCTGTGGGCCATATGTAGCCCTGGCCTGTTTTCCTACCATCTGAAACCTAAGAATGTAAGCATGTTTTACGTTTTTAAAGACTTGCAAAAAAAAAAAAAAAAAAAGGAGTGCTCGTAGTATACTGGTTAAAGCATTCAGCTGCTATCCAAAATGTCAAACCCAACAGCCGCTCTGCAAGAGAAAGATGAGGCAGTCTGTTTCTGTAAAAATTGATAGCATTGGCAGTTCTACTCTATCCTAGTGAGTCACTATGAGTTGGAATTGACTTTATGACAGTGGTTAAAAAAAATAAAAAGAATATGTGAGAGAAACTGTATGTGGCTTGCAAAGCCTAAAATATTTACTATCTGACTTTTTATAGAAAAAGTTTGTCAGCCTCTGATTTAGATAATTAAGAATAACTTATTGAGTTGGGTGAAGGTCTGGGAGGGTAGAAACCATGTGTTTCTGTCTACATAATAGGCGTTCAATAATTAATATGTACCGAAAAATATGACTTTTGCTATGTGTTTATGTATAATGTAAACAATAACCTGATATTTTTCTCTTACTTACCAGTAATATTACCAGTAATATTGCTATGGATTCATATAATCAACTAGCACTTTTCAAGTATCTGTGTAACCACAGATGCTGTATTTCCTTAAGCCTCTGAACTTTTCTGCTTCCTGCTCTCAGGATTATCAGAACAATGGTCAACTGTCTTAAAATTCATGAACATGGATAGTCATATGTATATATTTATATGCTTTTCAAAATTTTAGAGATGTGTTATCTCCCAGATTAGAAATACTTTTGATTATCTATGTTTAGTTATCAGAAGATGGATAAGGTGTTGCATTTTTGAACCTTTTTAAGTCCTTGCTTTAGATCTCTTACCATTTCCTCTTGACAAATACATTTGCTACATTTTTATGTGCAGGAAGCATTCCATGTAGCTAAAATGGCATTCAGACACTTCAAGATCCGTGTGAGGAAAACGTTGACACCATCTTATGTGGGGTCAAATAACTTTGAAGATGTCGTCTCAGATTATATCATTTGTCATCTTGATCTATATGATGCCCAAAGCAGTGTTAATGTAAGTGCTGGAGTCCTTCTATGGGATTGGGTTCACTGATGGTACTCTTTACATTGAATACTAATAACTCAGAAATCCAACCAGTATTGAATATTACTTCTATGTAATGGAAGAGCAGAAATTAACAGTATCCATTTTACTTTGTAATACCACACTGCAAAAACGGCGAGGAGGCCTCATATTCTGACCTCCTAGAACCCCACAAGAGGAAGACAGGATTACCAGCAGTAACCCAAGGCCTATTCCTGCCAGGCCAGACATGCTGCCTCCCTTCAGCCCTTTCTCCAACCA